GGCTGGGGATTCGAACCCGCCACCTTAGGTGTACGTGGCTGGCGCCTTAGCCGGTTGAGCTATAGGCGCCGAGCCTGATCTGTCTTTCATACTGGAGGCTTTCTTTGTTTTTGGTTCGCTACTCATATTTAAGGGTGGGACACTAAATACTAGTTTAGTGTATGTGGGGGGATATTAACAGCTGTAAACTTCTCTGTAGGATTATCTAGCATGGCCATTTTATTGGGAAACCCCCTAATCTTTAGATCTTTTTCTCTTGAGCTGATGCGATCCCTCAGAGAAGACTTCTAATTTCCCGCTTGAGCACATAAGCCGGCTTCTAGCTCTCTGAAAGCTGAGTGGAAATAAGGCCAGAGAATAAGGAAGCGCATCATAACATCTGATATATAAACTTTTCCCTGTTTTCCATATGGTATCCCCACCCTCATTGCCTCATACCCTCTAGTCCGGAGCCTTTGTGTCTTATACTCCCTAGGGAATAAACTTCTAGTCTTCCGGAATAGGGGAGAGGCAGTTGCTGGGCTGGGCTGGGCTGAGGGAGTAGGAGGGGGAATCTGGGATCTAACTGCCTCTTAAATGGGGTTCAATCACCCCCTATTTTAGCTTCACCCTCAGCCTTACTTCTATACCATAATTGGTGTTACCAGTTATTATACTATGGGAAAATAGTCTTATAGTATAAATGTGGTGGTTCTTCAGCTTTTTCCACTGCTAGAATCACTTTGCCTTGGGTCTTCTAAAGTGGTTTCTACCTCTTATTCGCTTCCCAGCTTCCAGAATTTTGTTGCTATTATGTCCTTTATTGTAGATTTATGCCTCTTAAAATATCCCTTTCTTATTATTTAAGAATCAGAAGGGCTAGAGGAAATGTGTTTTCAATCTGCCAACTATAACCATAGAATCTAATTGTACTTATTTTAAATATATAATGTCTTACAGGTATCTTCTCAACCTGTCCCATGGGACTTGTATATCACTCTCAAATTAAAGGAACGTTTAAATGAGGAATTTGACCATTTATGCAGCTGTTATCAATACCAAGATGGCTGTATTGTTTTGCACCAATATATAAACTGCTTCACCCTTCAGGTTTGCAATAATATTAAAAACATGTAACTTAATGTCCTCAAATAAAAAATTTGTGCTCCATTTAGCAAAGGAATTTAGCATAAAATTTCTACAAATAGACCAATTAAATTGTAAGTTAAAAGCACTGATAATTTTCTTTTCCCAAGTTATTTTAACTGACAGCTTCTTTGATTTTTTTTTATACTTTAAATTTTATTGATTTTCAAACATTAACAGAATTATGCAGTCAACACACATCTATGATAATCATTAGCTTATGGCTAATTTTGTTTTATCTATACCACCTCCACTCTATTTGTTTTATTGACTGATTTACACAGGGTCCTGCTGTGTTGCCCGTGATGGTCTTGAATTCCTGGGCTCAAGTAATCTTCCCACCTCAGCCCTATAGAGTAACTGAAACTACAAGAAGGTACCACCACACCTGGTACCTGATTTTTAAAACTCTGACACAAAAGGGTGCACCTGTGGCTCAGAGAATAAGGCGCTGGTTCCATATACTGAGGGTGGTGGGTTCAAACCTGGCCCCGGCCAAACTGGAAACAAAACAATAGCCAAGCGTTGTGGTGGGTGCCTATAGTCCCAGCTACTTGGGAGGTTGAGGCAGGAGAATTGCCTAAGCCCAGGAGCTGGAGGTTGCTATGAGCTGACACCACAGCATTCTACCAAGGGCAACAAAGTGAGACTCTCTCTTAAAAAAAAAAAAACTCTAATACAAAATATCATTTTATTTTATTCTTTGGTATGTTCTGAAGAAAGTTTTGCTGAAGATTCTGATAGTAATATGAATTCTATGAAATGGTTGGAATAAGAGTATTTTAAAATATAGAGTACCTATTGTGGGCCAGGCTTATCAAGTCCTAACAATCTTATGGGAGATCACAGTGTTGTTAAAACTGGGCCATAGGCTCGGCGCCTATAGCTCAACCGGCTAAGGCGCCAGCCACGTACACCTAAGGTGGCGGGTTCGAATCCCCAGCCTGGACCAGCCAAACAACAATGACGGCTGCAACCAAAAAATAGCCGGGCGTTGTGGCGGGCGCCTGTGGTCCCAGCTACTTGGGAGGCAGAGGCAGGAGACTCGCTTGAGCCCAGGAGTTGGAGGTTGCTGTGAGCTGTAATGCCACGGCACGCTACCCAGGGGGACAGCTTGAGGCTCTGTCTCAAAAAAAAAAAAAAAAAACTGGGCCATAGACCCAGACTACAAAGGAGCCTACATTTTAGTAGAGAATAAGGAAGAATACAAACCAGCAGTTATCAAGGTATTGAGTATAACTGCAATCCACCCGATTTGAGAAATAGTTTTCTGTCTATTTCCAGGATCTTCTTCAACACAGTGAATTTATTACTCATGAAATAACAATGCTGATTATTTATAACCTTTTGACAATAGTAGAGAAGCTACACAAAGCAGAAATAGTCCATGGTGACTTGAGTCCACGGAGTCTGATCCTGAGAAACAGGTTGGTCCTTTTTATTCTCTTAAAATTCTGTCAGGTTTCTCTTGAAACATGGATAGTTGACAATTTTTTAAAGCCTTTTGGTAAATGCTGTATTAAGGAACGCATTATGTTAAGAGAATATTTGCTACCTAAAAGTCAATAATCACTGGAAATAGTTTAAAAGAATTCAAAGAAAGAAACATAATGAGGAAATACACTAATTCAGATGAAAGAATTAACTACGAGTATTGTAATAATCCACGTCAATAAGAGATGTAAAATGAATGTTTTTAGGAATATAAAACTATTCTAGTCATGTCTAGTCATTCTTTGCATGGGGTCAGTGCAGATATAGCAAGGATGCCAGCAAAATTGAGGCACTGCTCAGTTTCATGGACCAAAGCTTAAGTCAGGCCTAATTGAGAGGTTACCCAAGAGAAGTGAGTAAAACCACAGTGCAAATACAAACTATGCCAAGAAAGGGAGGGAGTTTAGTGTTTAGATTAAACCCAGTTTGTCCATTAGATTTGAGAGGTGGACAGAGAGCAAGAAATAAGAAATGAAGAAAATTCAGGAATTGTTTAGGCATGAGTAAGGCAAAACCAGTCTTAAGATTGTTGTTTTATGAAAAGAACTAAAGGACCAACACAGCATTTTAGTGATCACTGGTCTCGTAGTCTTTCAATAGATTTAAAGATGCTGTGTGTGCCCAACCCCATGTCTTGGGTAAGCAGTTAACTTTCTTTCTGAGGTCACTGGTATACATAAATAGTTTGAATCATTCTTTACATTTCTTCTGACTACTTCATCTGTAAGAAGAGACTGAATTAGACTCTAAATCAGGGGTCCTCAAACTTTTTAAACAGGGGGCCAGTTCACTGTTCTCAGACTGTTGGAGGGCCAGGCGGCGGGCCCTAGGATGAGTCGGCTGCTAAGCAGGACAGGCAGTGGCAGCAAAAACACCCGGTGGGCCAGATAAATGTCCTAGGTGGGCCGCAGTTTGAGGATGCCTGCTGTAAATCATAGTTGGCATAGAAAGTTAAAGAACCTGCAATGTATTTCTGCAGTTATAACCAAAAGACTTCTTTCCTGAGATAGTAGATTCCTAAAGGCTTTCCTAGAAATAATGTAGCAGCATTTTTCATCTCGGGTACCTTAGGTATTTTAGATGAGAATTATTTGTGCAAGTCTGTTTCAAGTACAGTAGAACCTCTAAGTTGACCACCCAAAGGACTATAACAAACTGTTCAGCATACAGAGGTGGTCAACATAAGTGTAGCTAGATCTACAGTATTGATACATACATGTGGTACATGTCCAGTCTATGAAATTAGGTCAACTTAAGGAGGTAGTCAATATAGGGAGGTGGTCAGTTATGGAGGTTTATCATATTGCAGCATATTTTATATCCACGTTTTCCATTACTCTCCTCAGCCATTGTGATCATCAGAAATCCCCCCATGTTTCCAAATGTTAGTACCACTGTTGCAGTTTTTATTCACCCTACTTCACAACACTGCAAGTTTAGAGGACAGTGTTAGAATTCTCAGGACTATGGAAATTGCTGGCAGATATATATATGGTCTACGAATTCGAACAGCCCTTCTCTCAGCCACCAGGGACTCCGGGAAAACACATAGCATTAAAGAGACATTACCTTTTATGTTGTCACTACTCATCACATTTGATAGGAAATTTCACATAGATTCGCAAGGAATTAAAAGCCAGAAGAAACCTTTTGAAATGGCTTAACTTTAGTTGTGACGTATTTTTTTGTCAAGAAAATGAGAAAAGTGGAATCTTGCCCATCGTAACAGTAAGTTAGTAGCTGACTACGGGACTAGGAGACCTTCCTGCTTTTTATTAACCTAAGAAACATTTTTCCTACCTCAACCAGTTTTAAAAATAACTTATAGATTTATGATGGTTCAAAAATAAATCAGATCTTGTGCCAAGGAAAAATGGGAGCAATTTCATCTTAAAGTAAAATTAACAAAACACTTCTGTGCCATAGAGGTATGTGATTGGAGTAGTGAAAGCCTATATTTAGGAATATAGGACCTATACCAGTATCACTCAAGAATTTGAGGAAACTAATTGAGAAAAACCGAGAGGCTGAAGTTTATGAAAATAATCCATTCTTTTCTGTCAGGTAAATAGTTCCTATATCTGTTTGAAGGATTGCTTTATTGCTTAGAAAAATACAAAGCCAAGGAAAATATAATTAATTGACAGTGAATTGGTATTATGAAGTTTTTTGTTGTTGTTGTTGTTGTTGTTGTTTTTTGAGACAGAGTCTCACTTTATCACCCTTGGTACAGTGCCATGGCATCACAGCTCACAGCAACCTCTAACTCCTGGGCTTAAGCGATTCTCTTGCCTCAGCCTCCCAAGTAGCTGGGACTACAGGCGCCCGCCACTACGCCCAGCTATTTTTTGTTGCAGTTTGGCCAGGGTTGGGTTCAAACCCACTACCCTCGGTATAGGGGGCCGGTGCCCTACTCACTGAACCACAGGCGCCGCCATATAAAGTTTTTTTTTTTTTCCAGTTTTTGGCCAGGGCTGGGTTTGAACCCGCCACCTCTAGCATATGGGCCCAGCACCCTACTCCTTTGAGCCACAGGCGCTGCCCTGTATCAAGTATTTTTTAAGAAATAAGAGTTGGAATTACAAATAGAATGTGGTGTTTAATAGAAACAAGAAATATTATGATATAGACAGCATTTTACAAAAAAAACTCAGACTTGTATTGTTTTCCATTAAACTCTAGAAGGAAAAATCTGAGCAATACTTGGAAAGCTTATCTAGAATAATATAGAAGAAAGGCACTGGCACCTATAAAAGCTTAATTTCCTCCATCATAATTCCTGTCAGTGTATAAGTCATTGCTGCTGTACATGTTAATGTGTACAGTATGAACAGAAGCTTCTCCTTCCCATACTTTATATGACATGGAAACAAGTGTTTGGTGGTAGTCACACACTGTGGTTTAAAATATACTTTGTTTCCCCAACTGATCTTGACATTCCTTCTTCCCCATTTGGGTGGTCGCTGCTGCTGCACTTACAGGTGCATTTTCACAATTTACCACTGGAGGGAGCTGTTGGCATAGCTAAAACATACCTGTAGTGCTTTTTTTTTTTTTGTAAGAATGGCTGTGCAGCTTCTTTCATGGCCTATTTTTGTTATCTCTTTCTCTTAAATTTGGACACAGAATCCATGATCCCTATGATTATGATAAGAACAATCAAGCTTTGAAGATAGTAGACTTTTCCTACAGTGTTGACCTTGGGGTGCAGCTAGATGTTTTTACCCTCAGCGGCTTTCGGACTGTACAGCTCCTGGAAGGACAAAAGATCCTGGCTAACTGTTCTTCTCCCTACCAAGTAAGTGTAAAACAAGCCTGAGCAAATATGGAGAGGGTCTCTTAATCTCTTTATTGTCTAGATAAGCTATTAAAGCTAGTGTTCACTGGTATTGGCTTTCCTGGAATGGGTGACCTAGTTTTCAGATATCACCAAGTCAAGCAAAACGTACCGTTTTTCTGGCACAGCGCTGAAGAATATGCGCATACACGTGCACACCCGACTGACTCAGTAACCTAAGTGTCAGGGCCATTTCTACCACTTACCATCCACATGGTCTTTTATAAGTTATTTTCTATGATCTTCTCTATAAAATAAGGATAACAGTGTCTGCTCTGTATACATGAGAATTGTTGCAAGGATTGAATGAAATAATGTATATAAAAAGGACATTAGGACAAATGTAGAGTGTCTTTATATGGTGGCGTTATATGCAAAAATCTCTTCCAACTCAGCTCTAGTCATGAGGTATTTGCTGGTTGAATGTGTAGCATGAACCTGAACTTGTCATCTGAACCAGATTTAGATTGTAGCCTGGAGTTCTTACCAATCCAGTAGGTCTACACATTTGAATTTGATAGTCCAGATATTTTGTCATCTTTTGTTCTTAAGGATATTTCCTAGAGTTGACTCTGTTGATCACCTCTTTGGGTGATCACCTCTTTGGGTAATCTCTCTTTACTGTAAGGGTGAGGAATGGTCTGCTAAAATGTGTCTCATAAAATAAATTCAGTTTAGCATTGTTAATACCTTTCAACTTCCTACATAAATAAGCTGCCATGGTAGAGGCAGAGAATTATTTTAGCTGATGGTGCTTTTTGTGATTTCAGGTAGACCTGTTTGGTATAGCAGATTTAGCACATTTACTATTGTTCAAGGAACACCTACAGGTCTTCTGGGATGGGTCCCTCTGGAAACTTAGCCAAAATATTTCTGAGTAAGTATTGGTGATTTCAGGGTCTTTGCCTGTCCAAATAATTTTTTCTGTCTCTTGCGTGCTCTCTGCTTTGGCAGCCTTTGTTTTCTTAATCTAAGTGCCATGAGTCCAATAATTTCAGCCAGTTTTCATTAGAGTATCAGTGGAGCACTTAGTGTAGGATAATGAAACTTTGAGTCTTACAAGTAAGACTTACAAATAAGACTCAAAGTATTCAGACTTCAGGACAGTATCCTGAGTGTAGTTACATCATACAGACTGCAATTATAGGATAGAAGCTTTGAAGCCTCTCTGTTTAGGAGTATTAAAAAATGTTGGGTGCAGTGGCTCACACCTGTAATCCTAGCACTCTGGGAGGCTGAGGCAGGTGGATTGCCTGAGCTTATAGGTTTGAGACCAGCCTGAGCAAGTGCGAGACCCCATCTCTAAAAAATAGCCAGGCGTTGTGGCTGGGGCTTAATGACCCCAGCTACTGGGGAGGCTGAGGCAAGAGGATCACTGGAGTCTTAAGAGTTTGAGGTTGCTGTGAGCTATGATGGCACAGCACTCTACCAAGGGTGACAAAAAAAAGTTAAAAAATATTTTGTGGGCCAGGTGCAGTGGCTCACACCTATAATCCTAGCACTCTGGGAGGCTGAGGCAAGTGGATGGCCTGAGGTCATGAGTTTGAAACCAGTCTGAGCCAGAGCCAGAGCAGGACCTCATCTCTAAAAATAGCTGGACTTTGTGGTGGGCACTTGTAGTACCAGCTACTTGGGAAGCTGAGGCAAGAGGATCACTTGAGCCCAAGAGTTTGAGGTTGCTGTGAACTATGATGCCACTGCACTCTACCAAAGGCAACAAAGTGAGACTGTCTCAAAAAAAAAAAATACTTTGCAAGAATAATTTTCTAACCAATTGATGTTAGTTTTAAAACCCCTTTTAATAGCAATCATTACCAAAAGTTAATAAGCATCTCTTGAAGAAAGTTAAATTTCTAAAATAATATACTAATGTTAGGCTATTATGTATCTAATGAGGAGGTAGATCCAAATCAGAAAATTGAATCTCCTGGTGAAGAAGTCAATGTTCTCTTAATAAAAACTGTTTAGTCTCAGAACCTTAGTACTGTCTCAAGCCTGCTCATAAAACTTATTAAATATTTGTGTTCCTGGCTTGGCACCAGCCACATACACCTAAGGTGGCAGGTTCAAATCCAGCCCCAGCCCGCCAAAACAACAATGATGGCTGCAACCAAAAATAGCCAGGCATTGTGGTGGGCACCTGTGGTCCCAGCTACTTGGGAGGCAGAGACAGGAGACTCGCTTGAGCCCAGGAGTTGGAGGTTGCTGTGAGCTGTGATGCCATGGCGCTCTACCCAGGGGGACAGCTTGAGGCTCTGTCTCAAAAAAAAAAAAAAAAAAAATCTGTGTTCCACTTCAGCTTATTTCAGGTACTAACTTCCCAGGATAAGCTTACCAATCTATCACATATTGGCATAGTTAGTCTTTGGGTTTTGGGGGGGGGGTTTTGAGACAGAATCAAAAGTAGAGTGCTATGACATCACAGCTCACAGCAACCTCAAACTTTTGGGCTTAAGCAATTCTCTTGCCTCAGCTTCCCAAGTAGCTGGAATTATAGGTGCCTGCCACAAGGCCTGGCTGTATTTTGTTGCAGTTGTCATTGTTGTTTAGCAGGCCTGGGCCAGGTTCGAACCTGCCTGCCTTGGTGTATGTGGCCAGCACCCTAACCACTGAGCAACAGGCATCGAGCCTATTTGGTTTTAAAAAAAAAATTGCTGTTGAAGGTTTAGTGCCTTTCCTCCATTTCCCCCTCTGAATGATTGAGTTGTAATTTTTTTCTTTATTTAATTCAGAAATTGGCTGGTCTTATTTGTCTTTTACACATACTTTTAAAATAGACTTGAGATTTATGTACTACATATAGAAGAGATTTAGGTATCTTCAGTTGGCTGTGGTCCAGGCAGGTCTGGCTAATAAGCAGAAACAGGTGGAGTCAATTGGGATTTCCTAACAGCTCTGCCTTAGACAACAGTAGAAGTTTCTTTGATAAAAAGAAAATAAGCAAAGATATAAACATAGATTTAAGCAGCAGTTACTTCAGTCATGCTTGGGATTGTCAGAGAATTGTGAAGATGATAAACCACTGGGGTGGAGGAGGGAGCTGTAATCTTTAATGACCTAACTCTAGGGAAGTTAGAGAGAGGAGGTAAAATTCCTTTTTCTTCTATCCGTAGAAGGAAAGTGCTTGAAAAGAGCTACGTTTTAGTAGACAGAGAAAATGTACAGGTTGAGATGAGAGAATTTCTTCTCTTTATGTACGTTATATTATAGCTTTTCCTACTGTGGTATCCTTTTTTTGTAGTTCTTCCCTAGACTTTCAAAGGACTATTTGAATGATCTCTAACCCTAGAGTTCTGGGTATTGCCTCCTTAAATCATCCTGGTGCATAAATGTACCACTGAGTTAAATACAGAGAGAGTTCTAATTTTCATATGCCTAATCTTGATGGAAATGGTTTTATGTATTTTTAGGGTAAAAGATGGTGAATTGTGGAATAAATTCTTTGTGCGGATTCTGAATGCCAATGATGAGTCCACAGTGTTTGTTCTGAGGGAACTTGCAGCAGAAATGAATGGGGTTTTTGACACCACATTCCAAAGTCATCTGAACAAAGCCTTATGGAAGGTAGGGAAGCTAACTAGTCCTGGGGCTTTGCTCTTTCAGTAAGATAGTCAAGTCTCTCACCAGATGCCTGTGTTTGTATAGTGAGATACTGAAACTGTATATACTGTCATTTAATTTAGAACACTACCAATGCTTTTCTGCTTTTCAGCAGAGCCTATTTCTAAGTAACTGGTATTTTTTACATAGCAATGTACTTACTTGTGGCCTTGTCTAATTTTAACAAAGAACTGTCTTATTCTAGATAGACTCCATACGAATGAGTACCTTATTGCCATTAACCCATTTGTCTCTACTTTTCCCCTTTTGTAATTTGTAACATGTACTTTTATGAGCACTGTGTATTTTGTAAATAATAAAACAATATTTGTTAAATTTGTGCTTCTAAATTTCATCTACTTTTGCTAACTAAGATAATAAACGAGTTAATTTTGCAGAGAGGAACTACTTTGCCCAAGAAATTTATAGATCCTGGACTTGGAATGATTATAACAAGTCAGAATAGTCAGTCATTATTTAGGTGTTCCTGATCTTCTAACAGCGGTCTAGATTTGGTATATCTAAATGGTATATCTAAAATGATATACAAATTTTCTTAAATTTCAAATGGTAAAGCCATACATGTGGCTTATATTTAATGTTTTTACTTCTATTCACCAAGGCCTTGGTCTATTTATAGGATCTAGTGGTGCTGCTCCTACTGGGTCTCTTGATTAGACACTGTGAAAAAGGAAAAGAAAAGGTTTTGAACAGGGTTTAGCAACCTTTCAGAAATGGAATAATCATTCTATCACATGCAGAATGACTTGGAGGTGGCAAAGGTCAGTGAAGGAAGTAAAAGGAAATTTTGTTTGAAATATTTGAGGAAGCAGGAGGTCAGAATAAAAATAAAACTTTAAAGCATGAATTAATTTGAGAGAGAGTAGGCCTAGATGAAGTATTGTAGGACACCCAAAGGGAAGCATGAATTACATTTGGCCTTGGAGATAGGAAAGAAAATTGGTTAAGGGGGGGGGGCAGTGAAAATGATCTAATTATATATTTTATATCTAAATATCAAGTTTAGGCCGGGCGTGGTGGCTCACACCTGTAATCCCAGCACTCTGAGAGGCTGAGGTGGGTGGATTGCCTGAACTCAGGAGTTCGAGACCAGCATGAGCAAGAGTGAGAACCTGTCTCTAAAAAAAATAGCTGGGCATTGTGGTGGGCATCTGTAGTCCCAGCTACTGGGGGGCTGAGGCAAGAGGATTGCTTGAGCCCAAGAGTTTGAGGTTGCTGTGAGCTATGATGCCATGGCACTCTGAGGATGGCAAAATGAAACTCTTGTCAAATGAATAAATAAATAATCTAATGTTCCTCCATGCTGGTGTCTGATTTTTTTTTTCCTCTTTAGTTGTCACTGTTACTGCTCTAAGATTGCTGGAAAGCAAAAAATCCCATGTATATCTCAACTAAAAATATTTAAGTAGATATGGTTGAAGCACTGAAAATGTGACTTGGATCTGAAAGATGATCAACATAAAAATATTTGTTCTTAACCAAAATTCAGCTCTCTAAACATTGTCACATTTGCTTCTCCTACTGATGGTATAAAATGCATTATACCGATGTATCATTTTATATAATCGAGTCCCCTCCCTGTCTGCTCTCCTCATTTCTCAATCCACTGCGTTGACACATAAAGTCTGACACTGGACAGTAAATTTAGATTCCTTCTTAATGTAGGCTTAGCTTCTATCTAGTAAATTCTTCATCAGCCTTGACAACAGGCTATGATATGGATAAAGCTTTGTTTCTGAGGAAGGGGAGAGGTATCTGAGGAAGCTACTCTGTTAGAGAACCATTTGCCACCCCCTCTTCACTTCCCCATCTCCTTCAAACCTAGCTCTTTTTTTTGTTTGTTTGTTTTTTGCAGTTTTTGGTCGGTGGGTTTGAACCCGCCACCTCCAGCATATGGGGCTGGCGCCCTACCCCTTTGAGCCACAGGCGCCGCCCACAAACCTAGCCCTTCTTTTTAGAGGGGAAGATAAGAGTGCCTGACCAGTTAGGACCTTAGATATGTTAGGTTTTTTTCTTGGCCTAAGCATAAAACCATAAAGAGGGATCTTTTCCATCTCCCTTATGTATTATGCTTGTTTCTCTTGGAAGAAGAAAGGCTTTCTTTTTTTGGCAAAAACTTAAAATGTTTATTTCTTGTTCACTAAGGCAGAAATAGTATAATGATGGACCTGGGCCAGGTGTGGAGGGACAAAGCTAAAAAGACATTATTTTTACTTTTGTTTGAAATGAGACCATGGAATATATAGCGCATCACCGTTCACAAAGTATTTGTACATCCACCAATCTCATACCATTGTCAGGGCCTTCATCCTTCTATGACAGTTGTACAAGAAACTTTCCACCAAGTCAGAGTGCTCTGATGTCAAACCTGAATGTGGACATAAAAGGGTTTTCATGTAGCAGTAGGACTTCAGACCTTTGGCTGAGCTATTATCTCAAGGTAGATAAGAAAGCCTTTGGAGGGTTAGTACAAGATTCTTTGAAACAACTCTGTTGTTGATGTCTTTAGGCCAAAGAGCAAAGACAACAAAGAAGTGCTTTTTTGTTGTATCTGAAAGGAGGAATTCTACAACTACACAGGTTCTTACTAGCATGCCAAATTTGCTTCTAATCTGCCTTCTAAAATTAAGACTTCCCCAGTGGAGAGGATATGTATTTAAAAAAAAATTTTTTTGTAACACAGCAAAGTTCAACCTTAAGGAGGGGGGAGGTCCCACCAAATACATAAGAAGCTTTGAATATTTAGTGAGGATAAAGGTGGCATTTAAATCAGTATGAGGAAAAGAAGATTATTCAATATCTGTTGTTGAGGCCTGGCACCTGTAGCTCAAGTGGCTAAGGCACCAGCCACATACACCTGAGCTGGCGGGTTCAAATCCAGCCCAGGCCTGCCAAACAACAATGACGGCTGCAACCAAAAAATAGCAGGGCATTGTGGTGGGCGTCTGTAGTCCCAGCTATGTGGGAGGCAGAGGCAGGAGAATCGCTTAAGCCCAGGAGTTGGAGGTTGCTGTGAGCTGTGATGTCAAAGCACTCTACCTAGGGTGACAGCTTGAGGCTCTGTCTCAAAAAAAAAAAAAAAAAAAAAAAAAAAATATATATATATATATATATATATATATCTCTGTTGTTGAAACAATGAATTAGAGTGTGGGCTTTATGTCCAGTGTCACCACTAGCTCACATAGCACCTTTTTTTTTTGAGACAGAGTCTCAAGCTGTCACCCTGGGTAGAATGCCATGGCGTCACAGCTCAGCAACCTCAAACTCTTGCACTTCAGCAATTCTCCTGTCTCAGCTTCCCAAGTAGCTGGGACTACAGGCGCCCGCCACAATGCCCAGCTGTTTTTTGCTGCAGTTGTCATTGTTTTAGCAGGCCTGGTTGGGTTTGAACCTGCCAGCCTTGGTGTACATGGCTGTCGCCCTCCCCACTGAGCTACGGGTGCCCAGCCCACACAGCACCTTTGTGCACTTTACACAGAGGCTTCTTCCTCTAGGATTTACTGCCTCCCAATGCACATAGTTGTATTGAATTTCAGTCCCTACTTATCCGTCAGCCTGGTATTCTGCAGCAAATATGTTGTACAGCCTTATGCAGTGATCTTAACCTATCTCACTGCTTATCCACACAACAATTTTGGATAGATTAAAAATTTTAATGAAAGTATAAAGTACTAGATGATTTTGTAATCTTCACAAATAAGATTGCTATTAGTATAAAGGACAGAAAGTTAAGTACAACATAGCCACTTATCCTTTCCTCCAAAAACATAAGTACCATAAACTCGAACTAGGAAAATTTACTTGCAATGAGTATTTACATCATCCTTCTAGTACACTATCTCAAGGTCTCCTGATCGATATCTTCTCCCACTGCCTCCCGCCAAATCAGTACCCTTCAGTGGCTTCCCATCTCAGCCCCAAATCCAAAGACTTGATCATGGCCCCCAAGACCCTATCCAATCTACCCCCTACTCTTTCTCTGTCCTTTTTCCTACTCCTGTTTCCTTGCTCCCTCCACTCTAGTCTGCCCACCTCCCGCTGCTCCTCAAAGGTGCCAACTTGTTTCCGTCTTTAGAGCCTTTTTGCTTATTATTTCTTCTGCCTGGAATATTCTTTCTCCAATCTTCATTTGGATTACTTCCTTACTTCCCCTCAGCTGAGTGTCTCATCTGATCTCTAACAGAGAGGCCTTCCCTGACCATTCTATACAAAATAGCTTCCTACGTACACTGCTATTGGTTCCCATCCCTTTTTACTCTTTTCTGTTTTTTTTCCATAGCACCTGTCACTCCTCATATGTTTGTGTGTGTACATATACTTTTCCTGTATCTCACACTACAATTTAAGCTCCTTAAAAGTAAGGATTTTCTTTGTTTTCTGGGTACTTTGTTTGGCAGAGTCTCCCAGTTTTACCTCAGGCTATAATGCCTAGCTCACAGCAACCTGAAACTCCTGGATTCAAGTGATCCTCCGCCCTCAGCCTCCCCAGTAGGTGGGACTATAGGCATGTGCCATCACTCCGGATTATTTTTCTATTTTTAGTAGAGACAGGGTCTCACTCTTGCTTAGGCTGGTTTTCTGTTTTAACCCTAAAACCCAGAATAGTGCCTGAATGAATAAAACTTTTACCTAAAGTACAAAGAACTCTTAAAAATGAAAAAAAAAGCAAAACCAATAGAAATAGGCAAAAGACATGAACAATCCACTGAACATTTTAATGGCCAATATACGTGAGATGTTCAACTTCATTCCTAATTAAATAAAATGCAAAATAAACCAGAAGTAAATGGTTAAAAATTGTATTTGTGAGGATGGGGGAGGTTGGGGTACAGGTACTAATATAAGTTGGGGTGGAAATTGGTACATTATAAGTTAATTGAACAATATTATTAATAAATTTATTCCCTTTAGCTCATAAATTTTTCTAGAATTTATCTCATAAAAACATTGACACATGCTTAAAGAGAAAGCACTCTTTGTTATATTTGTCCTCACTGCTTCCAAGGCTCATTAATCCATGAGATAATCCATGTGACAGCCCCTGGGAAAGCAAGCATGCAGAGGTACCAACGGACCATCGCTGTGGGCCACAGAGTCCCTCACCCTG